TTGCCATTTTATCATCGGTCAATAAGATTGTTGAAAAGGTGGTTGTAGGACAAATAACTGACTTTTTGGAACAGCATAATATATTATCAGAGGCACAACATGGATTTAGAAAAAATCGCAGTACAGCCTCCGCACTTGCACTATTTTCGGATACAGTTAATGAATACTTAAATGAAGGAAAACAGGTTATGGTTTTGTTTATTGATTATAAAAAAGCCTTTGATACTTTGGACCATAATATGTTATTGCAAGCGATGGAGGAGTGTGGAATCAGGGGTCCTACAAATAACTTTTTCCGTAGCTATCTATCTAATAGAACGCTTCGCACTGTAGTGGATGGTGTTGTGGGAGAGGAGGCCAATATTAACTTGGGTGTACCGACCGGTTCTGTTTACGGTCCTGTGGGTTATATTATGCATGTAAACAGTGTATCCAATGTAATAAAAAACTGTCAAGTGTATATGTATGCGGATGACATGTGCTTGCTATTTGCCTCTAAAGAAACAAAAGAATTGCAAAATAATATACAAATTGATTTTGAGAATATAACAAAATGGGCTCATGATAATGGTATAATTTTAAATTTTAATAAAACAAAATGCATGCATATACACTCTCCATAAAATGCTGCAGAAAAAAAAACCAAATTAAATGAGATAGCTATTATGGGCCACGGTTTTGAGTGCTTGCATAATAATAAAATTAATTGTAAATGTAAAGAAATTGAATTTGTTGAGAGATTTAAATATTTAGGCTTGATTATTGATAAAAACTTTAATTGGAAACCTCAAATATCTGATGTATGTGCAAGGTTGTCGGCTGTATTATGTAAATTTTATTATTTAAAATATATCTTGAACAAAAAAACTATGCATCTTCTATATTATGCTTTGGTGGGTTGCCTCATAACCTATGGACTTGGTGTGTATGGTCGTACATTTTCTTCCTATTTAAAGGACATTAAAAATCTACAGACAAGATTTCTAAAACATCCTGTAAATGAAAAAGTTAAAGAAAATTGTAAGAAAGATTATGATAAGTTATTCTCTATTTGTAAAATTTTACCGGTGGAACACAAAGTTAACATGCTATTACTTCTGGAAAACATTAATAAAAACAATTATTTTGAAAAATTGGTATAATAAATATAGAACCAGGAAAGTTAGAGAAGGGAAATTATTTCAGCCTAGTGTTAAAAACTACTATGGTAAAAGATGTACAAAATATTTAATACCAAAGCTTCTTAATGAAATAGATTGGCTAAGGCAAGATAGACCTAATTGCAAATTAAAAATTAAAAAGAAACTTGGGAAATATTTTTTGGATAAAATGTTAGATGTATGACCATTTAGAAAAATATTATTTGTTTGTAATACTTATAAAAATATATCCGGGTTATATTTACAATTTTTATTTTGTTGCAATGTGGGTGGGGTGTTGTATTTGTAATTGTGTGGAATTTATTGTGTTCATGTTTTAAATTTCTAGTTGTTTGTAATATTACGTGGGTTGGGTACTTATTTAATTTAATTACGTAATAGGATATAAGAGAGCATTTATTCGCCAACAAACTGTCTTTATAGTTTGGCGAAGATATGAACTGTTCTGTAATGTTTTTTTCTGTAAAGGTCATTAAATAAAAATAAAAAAAGTATGTCTGACTACTGGGGCTGTGCATATAGAACTCGTTGGTGATCTAAGCACAGCGGGCTTCATGGGTGCATTTAAAAGATATCTTTCCCGCCGTGGCCCTGCAAGTAAATTGTATTCGGATAACGGTACAAACTACGTCAGCGCGAAACGTATTTTATCAGAACTACATGAGCTTTTAACCAGTAAATATTATAATTTGGAGTTCGCTTACATCCTAGCCGAGAACCGCATCGAGTGGTCTCTGAACGTCCTGGCCGCGAGCCACTTTGGGGGAAATTGGGAGACTAATATTAAGAGTCTAAAGAGTCATTTATACCGAGTAATAGGAGATCAAATTTTGTCCTTCGAAGAGTTAAGTACTGTGCTCGCTCAAATTGAGTACGTCATGAATAGTCGCCCCCTTTGTCGTACGTTGTCAAGTGACCCCTCAGAGCTGCTGGCTCTTTAACTCCAGCACATTTTTTTGAATTTAACGCCTTTGAAATATCTGCCCGCCATACACATGGACGAGAACAAACTTAGTATTTCCGCACGCCATAAATTATTGGGCCGGTTGGTGCAGTCGTTTTGGAAACGATGGAAGATGGAATACTTGCATACGTTGCAGTCTCGGCAAAAATGGAACACAACAAATGAACCTTTAACTGTCGGAACTGTGGTTGTGCTCACAAAGGAGAATACGCCGCATATCCATTGGCCATTAGGGATCGTCGAAGAAGTTTTTCCCGGTTCCGACGGAGTAACTAGGGTAGCTCGCGTTAGGACCACGACTGGGTTTTACATGCGCCCTGTTGTCCGTTTGTGCCCTTTGCCCATTCAATAGTTTGAATTAGCTTTCTAGATTAGAAATTGTAGTCGAAAATTAGGTTTAATCTTAGCGTTAGTTATTTTGAAGGGGACCCTTCAAGCCGGGGGGATGGTTACGCGGAAACGATTCGTGTATTTTAATTTTATTCGAGGGTATATTGCCAAGCGTTTACCCATCCTTTGACCTAATATATCTTCCGTAAACACTGAAACGGGAAAGGGAGGAGTCTAGAAGGTGACGCGATTCTTTCGACCAATGAGAAGCGCGCTCGACCGAGGTGCTTGGTGGGAAAGCCGACGCAATAAAGGCTCGCGCGCTGCCCTCGAGCGTCCTCCTGCCACGCGCCACTAGTCTGAACCGCACCACCTGGAGCAGTCGAGCTCCAGAAGTAACCGCCTCACATAGTGTGAGATATCGTCGCGCACTGCTCTCTTCCTTCGCACCACTGGCCTGGATCGCATCTCAGGGGCGCCCCAGAAGAACCCACCTCACGTCGCATCACAGTAACGGAAGCGTCGTCCGCCGCACCAGAATCACACCACGGTAAGTGTTTTCCCGTAATTTTGTTCTACTTGAGCATTTTGTTTATTAGTTAACCCGCGCCATTTTAGTTCTCCTAATGTGCTCAAGCAGAATTCCCTCCTAACCTTGGCAAGCAATAGATTTGCAAGAGCGAGTGCATTGTCAAGGTGCCGCGTGTCACATCCGCCATCTGGTTGAGGCATAAGAAGCCATCGCGTATACAGACCACTTAGTATAACATCTCGCATAATAGGGTCAAGGCTCAACCTGGGAATCGAACTCGGGAACTCTTAGGCCCACCGCCCAACCATTTCGTTATAGTTCAGTTTAAGAATATATTCAAATAGTTTCCTTTTTGTACTCTCTATAGAAACTTCGTGTGTCTATAATTTTGCTGATTTTAAATATAGATATGAATCTAAAAAGGGAAAATATTTAAGTGCGAATTGGTGTTTAAATTTTACTTATATTAAATTGGTCAATATGGGAAAGTAAATCTCTGCGGCACTTTGAAATGGCGATTGTATCAGAGCTTGAGTGTTGTTTCATAATAGTGAGCAGGATGAACAGTTGGCGAACTGAGAGGACTTCACAAGATTGATACAAGAGGTACGTAGTAAACAAATTCGGGCGCAAAGTGACTTTAAGAATAGCTCTTTGAGCTATTTCAAGTGGTTTAATAGTCGTTTTTGATGCACCATCCTATACAATAACCCACTATAGATCGTCTAAGAAACAGATAGATCTTAACTAATTTAGGATCTGTCACATTCCTTATATTTTTAAAAACATATATCCGATATCTCAACCTCGCAGTAATTTAATTGACATGAGGTGGGAATGAAAGATTTTTATCTATAAGGATACCGAGAACTAATATTGGTAGCAATCAGTGAAGGGCAATGGCATACATCAACATTGCAGCAATCATGCGCAATCAGAGAATGCGAAGATGCTGATAACGTGGTATTTTGCATAGAGAAAGGTATGAAGACGGTTTATTCTGCGTTTACAGTCAACGCATTGAACTTTAGCCAGTGACACACAATATTAAAGGACTACTGCGCTATTCTATAAACATCCTCCCACTTCTCGGCTGAGAACAAGAGCGCAGTGCCATCAGAATAAAAGATAATTTTGCCACCTTCTCGGCAAAGATCACAAAGGTCGTTTAAATAGGCTAGAAAGAGAGTTGGCTCTTGTATACTGCCTTGTGGCACACCATAAGTAATAGTTAGGTCATCAGCAATAATTTTATCGATCTTGGTGCATTGACATAGATTTGAAAGGTAATTTCAATTAATTTTAGCTGATTACCTGGAATTCCAAGCTAGAGAAAAAAAGGAAAACTAGAGAGAGTTTATTAAATAGCAATGTCAATAAATATTCCTATTGTTTTTTTTGCCAGCGTCAATATTCCTTAAAACATGGATCCACAAGTTCATGAATCGCATCACAAGTTTTTTTCCAGTTCTAATATTAGTTAAAAAAAATTAATTAAAAAAATCTCAAAGATTTGTCCTTTCTAACTTATAAATTCTAAATTCCTGGTAATGCATTATTTTAACTGATTTTACTGCGCACGCACACATTTGTAAGAGTCGATCGCTGTTTTTGCCTAGCGATTGCCCATACATCTCATTCAATTTGGGATAATTTTAAGTAAAAGTTTCTACTTTGGCTTTATTTGCTCATATTTTCAAAAACTGTAATAACTGTATATCATTATTTATATATTTTAACTTAAATTTAAAATTTGGCTATTCCTTGAAAATAACACTTTATGCCTAAAAACACCCCGCTTACTTCTTGCTGGTTCTTCTGTGAACATAGGTGTTTAATGAACCAGTAATAAACAAAAATTATTGACTTTCAAAAAATATTAGGTTTATATCGAATAAAATCCTACTTACCTACAATAAGAGATGTCCATTTCCAACAGTGAACTTTTAAGGGATGATAAAAACGAAGAACTAAATATATTAAATAATAAATAAATTACATAATTATTGAGTACCTCATTGTACCGCTTCTGAAGCAATAGAGCATGATTTGCTAGGGTGCGCTTGATCTTTTTCTCCTCTTCCGCTCTAACCATCTCAACTTCGGTTTCATACACTGTTTTAAGTTGTTCGAACATCTGAAAATATATTTGTTAAGAGTATAATTTTTTTTAAATTCTTTCTCCATCTTTAACAATGTGTATAAAACATTTTATCTGATTACTATTAAAATATATTAAGCTATCTTCAAAAAAGGAGATCAATTCAACTGTATCTTTTTAGATGTACGTTACGCGACAAGTTCGTCATTTTTAAACTAATTTTAATTATGTATTCTTTTTTCATCAAATAGTTTATACCTCAAAGATGGTTCTATATAAATTTGGGGTAAAATCTTCCCCAAGGATGGGGTAAAATCTTCCCCAAGGATGGGGTAAAATCTACCCCAAGGATGGGGTAATATCTACCCCAAGGATGAAAAATAGGAGCCAAGCTAACTACTTAAACTACTTACTAAATAATATGTTGTCCTTAAACCCTTATAAACATTTTTCAGATTAATGCTTTTACCTCAAAATAGATGCTATTGATTTCATTGTAAGAGGATTATGTTGTATTGTATTGTATGTATGAATATATGGATTGTGGCAATTATTTCGCCGCGCTACCACAATGAATGCTAGTGTACATCACAATTTTAATTTATTTCCCCACCTACCGGGGTTTCTTCACGAATTTTTCCTTTTTGTGACAATTTTTTTTATGAAATACATTTCATATCAATAAATTTCAAATAATTTTTATAATAATAAATATATAATTACAAGTAAAAGTGGATACATAATATTAATTTCTTCAAAATGGAATATAATCTACAAACATTATATAGAAAATCTACGACCTACAGAAATTCAAAAATTTAAATTAAAAATATTCATCAAAATTAATAAACGAAATTCTAATGTTAAAGTTTTTACATAACTATGCAATATTTACTATAGGTTTTTTATAAATATAACTAAACATACAGTAATGTCAGAAACTACATCAATATATAAAATAGTTATACAATTTTATAATTCAATAACCTCATCCATGATACTTCTTTCCATAACATCCATGTTTTTTAGGAAATTCTCAGCACTTCCTTTACTTTTACTGGTCCTTTTTACACTCTGTAATAAAATGCATTCGGTTTTTCTAGTAATTTATACTTATATATATATATATATATATATATATATATATATATATATATATATATATATTATATTATTATTATATATTTCATAAAGGGATGGAAGGAAGGATGCTGTGGCCTGTGGGCTCCAACTCTATCACTAAACAAAATCAAAATATAGATGGACTGTTATTCCTGAGGAATACTGGAACGCCTCAAGAATTTCTCACATGCAAAAAAGGCTCACAATCTCTATACCCAAACAGCAGATTATTGTACCTCTTTTGAGAATTAAGAAGGAATACCTCGTTTTCAGTAAAAAGGGTCTCCAGTTCTCAACATTCACCATACGAAACATAGCAGCATTAAGCTGCTGTTTTATGCCGACCCATTTGTGCTACATCTATAATACAGCTGCAACATGGCTCTACCTACCATGGTTAGTTAGGAGAGAGGAATAACTACTACAGGTAGAGCTATGGATATTCAAGGTAACCACACTAATCAGGGCGATTGAATATTTTTTAAGGAAGCTAAGCTTTAATTTTTTTCAAAGTTGTATAAAAGGCCAATAATTTGCAATGTTAGGCCTGTTTAGGTTGTTTGGATGTGGATGCCTGATTCAGTATTTGATATATTTTAACAATAACTAAGAAGCACTATTATTCTATTAGGTCTTTAGAGTTGTGCTAACTTGTCTCAGCAGAAGGTCCAATAATGAAGGTCCCAAATTGTTACCCATTGTATTTTGTCTGTTTATAAGAATATCCAAATTACGAGATAATGGTACGGGTTGGCGAGGGGCGTAACTGGAAAGGAGGACTAGCGAGTGCCGCCAGGTGTTCTTACAAAACCACAATTATGCATACTCAGTCACTACAAGTATCAGACAGTCGTCCAATTACATATTAAGACAAACGAATTATTTCGCCTTATATACATCCTTGTCTACAAGCAAAATACGAGCATATATACTGAGAGGACACTAAAACGGCTCAATTAATCAATCAATATACCTTATATATCTGTAATTTCTTCCTTTTATATTTCCTCTGAATTGTTTTTGTCCTCAACTGGCAGCCTTTGCAGAATGCATGATGTTTACAGCTATAAGATACTGATTTTCGCTGTTTGCTTACTGGATAACTACCGGAACTTGCTATGCTGACTTCAGAAGTATTCACTATAAAACATTTAATAACTATAAATATGTCGTGGATCGATGGCGCCATAGTGCTACAAGCAGCGCCATCTAACAATTAGCTTTGCGAATCAATAATATCGTTACCGGAAACGCAAGCGCGCCCTACCGCTTGGACACGATCGTCGGTAGAGGGGATGCAGCGAGGGCTAGAGAAGGGACCGAGTGTTGTGGCAGTTGAGTTCGGACAGCCGGGGCGGACGCTCGCTACCGACGCACGTGTTTGTTTCTCGTGTACAACCACTAGTCTAAATAAAGTTATTTTTGATTTAAATCATCTTTCGTTCGTGTGCCCACATTTACATAAAACCATGTCGGAGCGTGAAGAAAACCCGATGCTTCGCATCTCGCCCACCCATGACGCGACATCAGAAGTGGGATGCACCCGAGTTGAAGAAAACACGGAGACTGGAGCGATGTCGTCACGGTGCGACGAGAACATGCTTCGGGAGTTGCTGGCTGCTCAAAACCAGAATATGATGTCCTTGATAGAAGCCATCAAGGGCCCGGCAGGTACCAAGTATATTTCTCTGCCTGAATTTGACCCTGATAAGCCGGATGTAGACGCACGTGCCTGGTGTACCTGGTGCAGCGGATCTGTGCCTATCGGAGGTACCGCTTCGGGGAAGTGCTCTAATAATTACCCTAAGCAAGGCTCTGAAAGGTAGTGCTTCACGTTGGCTGGCGCAAGTGTCGTTTGCGGGGATGACATGGTGTGACTTCAAAAGCCTGTTTTTATCCCGGTACGATTGTGTGGACACACCAGCCGCTACTCTTGTCAAAATGATGAATGGCAAGCCCAAGGAAGGTGAATGTTATGCCGCGTACGCTGCCCGATTGCTTTCAACGCTCACATCACGCTGGCAAAACATGAGCACTGAGCAGATTGCCATATCTACGGTGCTTGCTCACATGGCACAATTTGATGGGCGTATTCAGAGGCTGGTGTTTACTACCGAAGTCAACAACAGGAACAAGCTGCAGTGTGAACTTCAAGCGCTCTCGTTTTTGAAAAGGAAAGCTTCAACGGTTAACTCAACCGACGCCGTTCCAGAGTTCAAGCGATCCAAGTTTCAGTCGACAACACTGAAGTGTCACAACTGTGGTAAACTAGGTCATCGAGCATCTGACTGTCGATCAAGAAATGAGGTGAAAAGCAAAACAGCCAATACCACCATCTCGGCGTCAAGTTCTTCAGGACCAAAACAGCGTTTGGACATCATCTGCTTTCGATGCGGCAACGCCGGACATTTTGCAGCAAAATGTCCACGAAGCAATAGTGCGGGCACCAGCGCGGCGGGTGGATCAAGCAGTTCTGGGGTAGCGCCTGCCGCAGCGGCAACCAGTGAGCGACGTGTTGACGTTTGTTATGTCAGCAATCCCAGCGGTGTGCTGATGAATGCTGGTGAGTCATACCCATTTTACTACGATTCTGGTGCCGAATGCTCTCTGATCAAAGATTGTGTTGCGTCGAAGTTTAGTGGCAAGCGAGTAAATAATATTGTAAATTTAACCGGAATCGGTCACGTTAGCGTACAAAGTACTCTACAAATTTTATCTGAAGTTATAATTAACGATTTACGGTTAGAGATATTATTTCATGTTGTACCGGATAGTTGTCTTAAAAATGATATCTTAATCGGCCGCGAGATTTTAGATCAGGGGTTCAACGTTAGTATGACGTCTCATAGCGTTGTTTTGTGTCGTGATAAGGTTGTGAGATTATGTGATGCTTCAAATAAGCCCAAGACGGATACTAATTATCAAATTGATTCAAATAAAGTTGACACAGACGTTCCGCCAGAATTTCGTTCCCAATTAATGGATCTTTTGTCAGAATATTCATCTTCGTTTTCTAATGGTGTACCTAAATCCCGTGTAACGACAGGACAGTTGCAAATCAGGCTTATAGATCCTAGTCGAACGGTTAAACGTCGCCCTTATAGGCTTAGTGCAAACGAACGTGAAGTTGTTACTGCTAAAGTTCGTGAATTAGAGGAAGCAGGTATTATTAGGCCAAGCTGTTCACCCTTTTCTAGTCCAGTGTTGCTTGTCAAGAAGAAAGATGGTTCAGATCGCATGTGTGTCGACTACAGGGAACTGAACGACAACACTGTATCGGATAGGTTTCCACTGCCGTTGATAGAGGACCTTATATCTAGGTTAGGTGGTGTTACATGGTTCACGTGTCTCGATATGTTGTCAGGCTATCACCAGATTCCAGTGCATCCTGAATCGATAGAGCGCACTGCATTCGTCACACCTGATGGTCAGTGGGAATATTTGACCATGCCGTTCGGTTTGAAAAATGCCAGCTCAGTTTATCAACGTGCAGTGATGAAGGCATTAGGCGATCTTGCTAACAGCTATGCTGTGACATACGTCGACGACATTTTAGTGATAGGATCGTCTGTGGAGGAGAATTTATTTCGTCTTCGCACTGTGCTAGATAAATTAACAAAAGCTGGTTTCTCCCTAAATCTTGCTAAGTGTTCCTTTCTTAAGCGACGGGTAGAATATTTAGGCTTTGTTGTTGAGAACGGCCAAATCAGTCCCAACCCAAATAAAATTGCAGCTTTGTCCAGACTTCCCCCCGCCTAAAACCATGACTCAGCTAAGACAGTTCATAGGGCTGGCCACTTATTTCAGAAAATTTGTGCCACAGTTCTCAAAAACGATGGCTCCTCTATTTCGTCTAACGAGTGGCAAGGACAGGTCCATTGAGTGGGAACCTAGCCATGAGGCTGTTCGTCAGAAAATTATTTCTTATTTAACCAGTAAGCCTATTCTAACGATATTTGATCCTGCACATCCAATAGAGTTACACACCGATGCTAGTGCTGAAGGATATGGTGCTATTTTTATTCAAAAGATTAATGGGATACAACATGTGGTTGCTTATTATAGTCGTCGTACCTCCCCAGCCGAATCAAAGTTTCATTCATTTGAGTTAGAAACGTTAGCTGTGTTCAATGCCATAAAGCATTTTCGACATTATTTGCTAGGTCGTAAGTTTACCGTTGTGACAGACTGCAGTTCTGTTAAAGCTTCTAAAAGCAAAACTGACTTGTCTCCACGAGTTCATCGTTGGTGGGCCTACATGCAGTCATTTGAGTTTGATATCGTCCATCGTGAAGGCAGTAGGATGAGCCATGTAGACTTCCTGTCTAGAAATCCCCTCCCTAAGCCCAAAGTGGCTTTCACTCGTGTGGAACAAAAGCGCATCGATTTAGCTGAGCTTTCTAGTAACTGGTTGCAAGCTGAACAGGAAAAGGACGAAGAGATTAGTAAGATCGTTTCTGATCTTCGTAACGAAGTTTTTCCTGAGGAAACTCGCAAAACCTACGAAGTTCGTAAAAACATTCTATATCGCCAAATTCAGCGTAACGGTCGCACTCGATGGCTGCCTATTGTACCTAGATCGCTTAGGTGGTCTGTTATTAATAACGTCCATGAGTCTGTCATGCACTTAGGATGGGAGAAAACTCTCGAAAAGATTTACGAACACTACTGGTTCGAAGGCATGTCGAAATATGTGAGGAAATTTGTGGACAACTGCATCACATGTAAAGTAGCGAAGCCCCACTCGGGTAAAGTTCAAGCAGAACTGCACCCGATTCCCAAGTTCAATATCCCATGGCACACAATCCATATTGACGCTTCTGGTAAATTATCTGGGAAAAATGACATCAAGGAGTACGTGTTTGTCATATTAGATGCGTTTACCAAATTTGTGCTACTTCGTCATTCGCTAAACATCGACACTAATAGTAGTATTCGTGCTATTAATTTCTGTATAGCTCTGTTTGGTGCACCGAAACGCATAATAGCAGATCAGGGTCGTTGTTTCGCAAGCAAAGATTTTTCTAGTTTCTGTACTTCTAATAGCATCGAGTTGCACCTGATAGCTGCTGGAGGCAGCCGTGCAAATGGTCAGGTCGAGAGGGTAATGAGTACGCTTAAGAGTATCTTAACAGCGGTAGAGACTAGTCGTGACCGTTCTTGGCAGGACGCATTAGGAGAGGTTCAGCTGGCTATGAACTCTACTATTAATAGGGTGACTAAATATAGCCCTCTAGAGTTGATGATAGGAAGAGTAGCACGACCGCTTAGTTTAGTAACCGCCGATGATGATGATGTGACAGAATTTAACTTGGATGAGATCAGAGAGCACGCGACACAGAATATCAAAAAAAATGCCAATTATGATAAAAATCGATTTGACCGAAATAAGGCTCGGGTTTGTAAATTAGCTATCAATGATTACGTTTTAATTGAAAATGAGGAGAGGAATCAAACGAAATTAGATCCCAAGTTTAAAGGTCCTTTTAAGATTATCGATGTGTTAGATGGGGATAGATACCTACTAAAGGCGCTTGACTCTAAGCGAACCTACAAATACCCCCATGATCGTGTGAGGAAGGTCCCCGATCACCAAGTTCCTCGAGAATTAGACGTCATAGTTGATGACAGCGATAGTGAAACCAAATCTAATTAAGAATGGCATGTATACTCATACTCGAAACTGTAGACCGCACCTCATGAGTAACATGTGGCGATGGGTCTGTAGGAAATCGTTGGTGCGATTTCTGTCTGTGTTGGTACACAGAGCCCCTCATGTGTTGTAGCATATTTGGCGGCAGATATGTAGGGAATCGTTGGTGCGATTCTGGCATATGTGGCGGCAGATATGTAAAGAATCGTTGGTGCGATTCTGGCCTGTGTTGGTGCACAGAGCCCCTCATGTGTTGTGGCGTATGTGGCGGCAGATATGTGGAGAATCGTTGGTGCGATTCTGGCATATGTGACGGCAGATATGTAAAGAATCGTTGGTGCGATTCTGGTCTGTGCTGGTGCACAGATTTCAATGAAAGTTTCACGAGTTGAGTATTCATTGCTTATGAATTACGGTAAAGAGTAACAAAATTGTCAGAATTGCTGTGTTGGAACTTGTTGATCGGGCCTTTCACAATAAATCATGTAGTGCAGGAAGCACTGTGTAAGAAGCCCTAATAATAGGGCTTTGTCAATCATGGCAGTTGATTACTGTACTTAGATTTAGGAGAAATAAAGTACCATCTGGAATCAACCTCGTTTTCGTTGGCAGGATAGCCGAGCTAAGTTATTCTCTGAGCATATTTTGTCCACAGGCACTGCACCCGAGGACGGGTGCTAGTCAGGGATGGCCGTGTCGTGGATCGATGGCGCCATAGTGCTACAAGCAGCGCCATCTAACAATTAGCTTTGCGAATCAATAATATCGTTACCGGAAACGCAAGCGCGCCCTACCGCTTGGACACGATCGTCGGTAGAGGGGATGCAGCGAGGGCTAGAGAAGGGACCGAGTGTTGTGGCAGTTGAGTTCGGACAGCCGGGGCGGACGCTCGCTACCGACGCACGTGTTTGTTTCTCGTGTACAACCACTAGTCTAAATAAAGTTATTTTTGATTTAAATCATCTTTCGTTCGTGTGCCCACATTTACATAAAACCATGTCGGAGCGTGAAGAAAACCCGATGCTTCGCATCTCGCCCACCCATGACGCGACAAATATATACAAAAATAAATTCCAATAAGAAGGTATGCCAAACTCTTTAATGGTGGTATAACCGTGTTTTAATTATCAAATGTAAAATAGCCAAACCGACAAGTGGCTGCAGTATCAAAGGTACAAGACATTACATTTACCAACATGGTTTCCAAGGATGGTATTAGAGAAAATAGAAATTATATGAAGGACCCATAAACAACAGTAAACTATTTATAAAACACGGGCGGATTACATAGTTATGTAATCCGCCCCAGCTTTGCACGGGTAATTTCTGGAACTCGACAACAGCGCTACCTACCAGATCCAATTCTGCATTTAAGCTATTCTCGAATCAACTTAATCACACACACAAAAATTCATCAAAATCAGCACAGACGTTTGGAAGGAATTCAGTCACATACACACCGACAGAAAATTATTAGAAAGCAGGATTTAAGTTTTATATTAAGATTGAGCATTAATGTTTTAATCCAGATAATTTTGAATGGAACATAAGCACAAATAAAACAATATGATTCACTTACCCTCCTCGAAATACTTGGCTTGCTTTTGGTACAATAGTATACACTTGAGTATACATAACAATAGAGAGGTGTGTTGCTCTTTCTTATACATATCTATTACATCTGAGGCAGATTCTGAATCACATTTAATACCTGAAATATTCATAAGTGTAATACATTAAAACCTAGTTTGAAGAGCACCTCCTGCCCTTCCTCAATTGCATGCACCATCCCCATCACCACTAATCCTAGCACCACTACTCCCAACACCACTACACTAGGAAAGACACCACCCTTGATAATAATCATACGTGTTTCGCCTCTATACGAGGCATTCTCAGGTGAAGTAGACTCTGCGGTGGCTCACTACTAAGACACATGATTTTATTTTATTGTGTGGAACTGATTTTTGACACCTTTAATATACTGGATTTCCGCAAAGTAACGCCTGATTCTGTTAATTATCCTAAAAAGGTGTAATACATTCAATTGAACAACTGTATGTGGTAGAGCTATGCAGCAGTATATTATAGCTGCAGCATTGGTCAGTTTGACTAAGGAAATATCACCTATCATAAAATATAAGTATATAATGTAATTTAATGTATGTAATGTCCTCCAGACCGAATTTCGGTCACGGCGGCCTGTCTCAACGGAGAGATTATAGTGCCCAAGTGTATACGCAAGCACAGGTGCACTCTCAATTTCTTCACTCTCATAATCCAATGTGACGGTAAACCGATACAACCAGAGAGATCAGGCGCAGGACCAATGGCTTTACGTGCTTTCCTAGGAATGGGAGTAAGACACCGAGAAATTCCTGACTCTGGGCAGTCACTGAGAATTTCTTGATGGAAAACGCAATTATTGAATTTTTGGCCCGCCCCGGGATTCGAACCCAGGACCTCATGATCAGCAGTATACATTATGCACTACTACAACCACTGGACCAACGAGACAGTGCAAAATATCAGTATAATGCTGTTGTGTTTCATATAGTGAGTGTAGGGAATAAGATCCCTTCTTATATTTAGGCATTTTGCTTCCTTTATTCCTTTAAAAAAAGTTCTGTAGATTCGGGGTTTAAGTCCCAGCCCAATTCAATATTATCCCCTTTCTAGCAATTTACAATATTTTGACACCTTTTGTTAATTTTATATTGTGTTATATCACATGTTTTAAGTTATATCATAAATAAATAATATATATTTGGTTTAAAATTTGAAAGTGATAAACTAAACTGTTCTAAGACATAGGAAAATCTATGTACAAAAATGGTTTACATTGTACAGTTTTTAAAACATTTTGAATTTTATATTTAAATTCAGCCAATATTAAAATTTAAACTGCAAATTGGTTTTTATAACACTCACCTAGACAATTTAAAATACACCACACATCGCTATCCTGAAATCTCAATCCTTTAATTGAATTATCATTTCCACTTTCTAACAAGGACTTTGCTAAATCAAACACCATGTTGGCCAATGGTATCTCTGTTATAAACACTGATAAACTGTAATTAAAATCCTGAAAGTGAAATATAAAATGGTTAATAAAACAGTGCTGATATAAATCCATAGTTAGTACAACATACTAATACTAAACTGGTTTTTAAGTGGTAGAACTATGCTTCAGCTACATTAGTAGTATAATTGTAGCACAAATGGGTCGGCTTGACCAGGGAAGGACCACACTCTGACAGAATACCGGTGTAAAATAGCAGCTTAACAAAGTGTTTCGTATGGTGAGTGTAGAGGCCCAGAGACCCATTTTACTGGAAACTAGGCATTCTATCTTAGTCCTCATCGGTAACTACGCATCTGCATTTTGATTCTTAATTGAGGATAGATGTAGATGTCTATAGGCCACAGCAACCAATTACCGTCAGGTGTATTGTGTGCTCATTTTCCACCCTTATTCTATTTCTATCAATGTAATCTGATTGACCAGCTGATTGAAAATTGGTTAAATTGATAGTTATCTGTATATTTGTACTGTAATTAATGTTCAGCACAATATATATTATAGTCAGAATGTACTATCTTTTACACATGTTATTTTAATACAACTTTGTAACAGAACTGCGGTCGCTCAGGGGCTAAGCGTTTGCTGTAAATTTCACAGCACGCAAGTACCACCAGGAGTTACCAGCAGCACCAAAGAAATTGTTGATTAGAATTTTAAGTGCTCATTTACCACATGCTTGACTTGATTGTGAATCAGCATGTCTGAGAAAAATAAATTTCGAAGTCATATGAGCTGGGGCCACTTCCTTGTCATGAAACTCTCAGAAATGAAAGGAGGTCTGTAGCCAGTAGTGGGACATATTATATAGGCTGTAATCTTACTTTACTTCACTTAACATCAGTGTTTCTAGACATTTCAAGTGTTTTCTTAGAAGCATGTCTTATATACTCTGTAGGCAGCACAATGTGGAAGTCTTTTCGAGATAGGAAACAATAGTGCAATATCATCTTTACAGCCTATTAAAGCCCTAATACTGAACATATACTTCTTCACAGATTGGCCTCATAATGTAGACAGCACAATGTGGAAATCTTTTCGAGATAGGCAACAATAGTGCACTATCATCTTTACAGCCTATCAAAGCCCTAATACTGAATGTAGACTTCTTCACAGATTGGCCTCATAATGCATAATAGCAGTAATATAGGTACTATAAAAGTACCTATATTACTGCTATTTGTGTATACAATTAGTTACCACCAGCTATTAAACAATTAAGTGGAAATATGTTTAAAACAAAATTAAAGAAATTGTTAATTGTTTGTGTTGAATAAAATGTTTTTTACAATCTCAATGAGTTTTTTAATAAAATTAATGTTAATAAATTGTTGCATATCCGAAATGGGTAAACTGGTGAACCTAAAACTATATGTTTTTGTAATAAGATTATATTGTACACAGTTATGCAACAAATGTATTTTTATCTTTAATGAGGATATTTGCCTTAGTTGCCTTGCTAGGAAGGTGGGTTGGCAACTGTAGTTTTTTTTTAATCTGCTAGTTGTTATTATGAAGATGCTGCTGCCCATCTTAGTTTTTTTGCTTCTCAAAATGTAATGTTGCAAAGTGCAGAGTTTAACATTAGTTAGCTTACCATACATAAAAGATATTCCACAATTAGCATATTTATAGCTTGAAAGGTAAGTTCCAAACGCTGTGTAAAGTGCTTTTGACTCATGTGTGATTCACCTAAAATGAAAATATTGTTAGTAAAACTTAATTTTAAACAAATTATTGATGAATATAATATTAGTGTCAAACACAAAATAAAAAAAGTCTAGATAATGTATTTATATACTACGTGCCAGCACTTATTTTGGTACTTTTTGATGATTATATAATAGGTTAGAGGGCTCTTACCTATTTTATAATTAACATCATTAACTCTCATGCCTGTTACCCGGTGAAGTAGGCAGAGATTACAAACTTCCATTTGGCAAGATCCTGACACACTTCTCTCGCTTATTTCACATCCATACATTTTTAAAAGGTCTCATCCTTTTAACTCTAAACTTGATCCTTTTTTAATACAAAATATTGTTATATTAAAGCCAACTACCTATGGTTAAAGTGACAACGGAGTTTACACTTACACCTTGTATATATAAACTTCCATTTTTCCAGAAATGCGTTGCAGATTCAGCAAGGGAGAACCCTTGCTGACTCTGCCACGCATTTCTGCAGTACTCGTTTGCTTTGTCACTCTTACCTCATTGATTCTTTCTATGGGTCCAAACCACCTAAGCATTCCTTTTTCAATCGTGGTCAAATCTTTTTGCAAACCATGTTTTTCTCTTGTTATGCAATTTCTTAATCTATTAATTCCCCATAACATATTTCTTAATGACTGCATTTCCACAGAATTAATTTTACTCCAATTTTTTTAAAGGATAGGGTGACAAACGAGTACACAGTCCACCTGATCGTAAGTGGTTGATGTGGCCCATAGACATCTACATCTATCCTCTATTACACATCAAAATGCAGATGCGTTGTCACCTGTGAGGACAAAGATGGAATGCCTCATTTTCAGTAAAAAGGGTCTCTCTGGTTCTCTCCACCACTCACCACTCACCATATGAAACACAGCAGCATTAAGCTCCTACTTTATGCTGGTATTCTGTGAGAGTGTGGTCCTTACCCAGTCAAGCCGACCCATTCATGCTACAACTATACTACTAATATAACTGCAGCATGGCTCTACCATGTATTCGCCGTAACGCCTTCAATGGACATTCTAATTTCCCACAATAGAGTGTACAGTCCCATATACTCTGTTTCCTGAATTCACTCTTTCTTCTATATTTTTGTTAACTGCCACACTTTTTACTCCCATCAGGTGGACTGTAAGTACAATTGTTATAACAGTTTTATAAAAAAAAATGTTGCACACAGGACATTAAGTTTTATGTTCTGAAGATAGTGCTGATTATTTTATTACCATCTTATTAATATAAAAAATTTCCACCCTTACCTGTGTGAACGCTTTTTAGGACATTAATGATATGCCCACGTAAATACGCTCTGAGATCATTTAATACACCATTTTTCTCAAACAATTCGTAAACAAACTTTTGAAAGTTTTCAGTTGAATTGCCATTATTCACATCGACGTTATTAGATTGTCGATCTTCGTGAGAATTTGCATTTTCCATTTTAGTTTTCTTCTGCTTTTTGTTAATTTCTTAAGATATAATATTCTTTTATCATTGTAAATTTTATTTATACACAACTAATCACCGAACAAAATTTTAAGTTTCCCAGATATTTTGACTGACAATTTTGACATTCACATTCCTTTTCAGCCAAATTTTCGGCTATCCGGATATTCATACAAAGTCAAGATGCTTACTGAGCTTGTTGAAATAATTTTATTTATCTTGTAACGTATATGCTTTTGTATATTATCTTAGTTTATACGTATTAAGTAATTAGCAATTAAAATTTTATTTAATTTTTATTATTTAAATATCGTTTTATTTTTTATGCCGTTGTAATACTAGATTGAATCATTTAAATAATTTTTTGACTAAAGTAACCACCGTCCCTGTGGCGCAGAGGATAGCGCGTTGGACTTCTAATCCAAAGGTCGTGGGTTCGATCCCCACCAGGGATGTTACTAAAGTTACATTTTATTTCCAAAAGAAATATTTTGTATTTAGAATTTTCTTGAATGTCTTTTTCTGTAATAACTTATTTCATTTTTAACTTTCTTACTTACATAATTTTTTGTTTCTTTTTTTTCTACTTTTTAGGTAGAAGGTAAATTTATTATTTCATGGATGTGGCATGATTGTGGATATTAACACTTAATAAAATTACTAAATTAATAACGTATAAATTTGTGTATATCTTAAAAAACCTTAATTAACTTTGCTGATAATTATCATTGTTTAAAAAGGGATATTAAATACTTATTATATTATCTATTTGTAGGGAAATACAAAATATGTTTTCATATTCACCGTTAAAAATTTAAAAAAATATATTTTATATATATGTACCTATAGTTTATAAAATATAATAATTACCGAAATGTTAGGCATGTAGTTGATAAAAATTGCGTGATTATTAAAAATTTTTTGCTTTGCTGCTTTGAATTATTTACATAATATAAAAAAATTTCATATTTCCGTATTTATATATGCTAAATGTTGTTAAATTTTGAATTCTAATTATTGTTAATTCGTCTTAGAAATAATTAAAAAACATTGACTAAATTATATGTATATTATCTCGTATTAAAACCATATTTTTTCAATTTACTTTATATACGCCATCTATCGTAGTGAGGCAGTACCGCCGTTGTGTTATTCCACTTTTTGTATAAGTATGAGTGTAGCTTCATATATGCACAAGTATCGAGTGTAGAAGTAAGGAGTACAGACTGTGTATTGAAAAGTGTCCACAGAAAACCGTTAAATAAGGGTGGCGCCACTATAACTACGGGGTATATTTTAAAGAACGCACCGAAAAATATTAGTGGGATAGCCGTCTTTTTCGAGGTTATATTTCCTAAGTAAAATTATTTTAGATTTTAGAGCTACTGAGCAGTTTAACACCACACTTAAACCGTCGACAACTGCTAAGTTCATTTCATCCTAGTAGCTACTCCAGCACTATTGTGGAGAGTTTTCGAACTATTTATTATTTACTGCTTACAGATGGCCACTTTTTCAACTATTCTACCATGGGAGTTGGTTCTCCTTGCTTCTACACTCCATATGCACAAGCTTGACTGGTTCGACCATAGATAACATGGAGGTTAGAGAACAGGAGAAGGAGAACGATCGCCGTAGAAAATAGTGTACACAAACTAATAAGAGTACTAACGTAATAGTGTCCCAGAAATATGGACACCATAAGTGAGGCGCTGCTATCACTAAGTTAGCTCAGTAAAAGTCATTTTCAGTCTATTTTTCCGATCAGATTCTAAAACACTTGCACATCCACGCACAATAAAATATTTCTCCATTTTTAATGTTTCTTTTTGTCAAAAATTACAAAATTACGGAGCATGAAAATTTTCTCACCAGTGCCGCGAAGAAAATTTGTACATTATTCAACTAACTTCATCTACTTGTACTCATAAACAGCTAGCTTAAACCGTTATATATATCAATACATAGATATCAATACACTATATGCCAGAGAGAGAGAGAGAGAGAGAGAGAGAGAGAGAGAGAGAGGAGAGAGAGAGAGAGAGGGGTTACGTTATTGTACAATTCATACGAGATGAAGAATAAAATTTAATATTCATTAAATTGTATTAACTTACTTCTTTAAATTGTACTAACTTCCATTGTTAGGTAACCTAAGGTATTCACCTTAGGTTACCTAACAATGGAAGTTTGAGTACAGTCCATAATAACTCAGCGCTGAACTGTCAAAAGATCTCCCGTTTCATCCAATCCTAGAGTCAGTAACCAAGCTGTTACTTTCTTTTTACATTGCTTTATATGTAGGGAGTAAACTGGAATAATTTTATTAACTCTATTATACACAATAGGACCCAAAGAACTGTAAAATCTCCGAATAAATGAGGTATGAAATTCTTTTAGTTCCCAATGTTTGACTATTCTGCATTTAAAAAATTTATGAGGATCAAAAATCAGTTCACTGTGTTGTTTCATGATTATGCTTAAAATAAATATTTGTCTAACGGTAAGGACTCACAAATTTCAAACAGGAGTTTAGTTGGGAATAATAAAGGTCAAAAAGTGCTTACTTTAAGTACTGCACGCTGCGCAATTTCTAAGCACTTAATTGTAAAAGCTGGCCCTCCTCCCCAAGAAATAATGCAGTACGATATCAGTGATTGGCAGAATGCAAAGTAAATTTGCTTTGTAAGTTTGTATTTTGCAGTATGTCTGAGTATTTTAAAGATTATTATTAATTACCGTACTCTTTTGCTCAGCAGTTCAATATGCGTTTTAAAATTTAAGTAACAATCTAACAATTATCCCCAAGTATCTTATTTCATTATTACGCTCTAATTTATGACAGCAAAATTTATGTTTGTCTATAAAATTGCAACTGTGAGCCACTAGTTGCTGTTTATCTCCAAGTCCTCTCGCCTTTGGAGTAGAAAAAAGGAATGCATTTTGTTTTATTAGGATTTAGTGTTAAAAGATTGTTACCCAGCCATCTAGAGACACTGTCAAAAGCATCCTGCGCAGCATCAAAAACCTTCTGCCAGGAATTGGCTGAAATTAATAAAACTGTGTCGTAAGTATAGGAGATCAGATTCCAATTTAAAGGTTTAAATGAACATAGTTATATAAATCAGGAATAGAGTTGGTCCAAGAACGCTGCCCTTTGGTACTCCATAAGAAATAGATTCATAAGTGCTAATATATTGTTTCGAGCTTAGACTTCGTGACAATTAAAAACTGCCGATTGAATTATCAAATTTGACACTTTTATTACCGAATACCAATTAAAACTTAAATTACACTAATAATTATTCGCACTTAACACTTTGTTTCGCTCCGAATCGTATCGCCAAATTCAATACTGCCCCGATCGCGACTTGCGGCGGCTTTAAATACACCTTTTCCATCGAAACATCCAGTATATTCCAGCAAATCCCCGATCGACTAAGTTCAGAAAGTTCAAGAGTGGACTCTTCTAGAAAGCTTAATTCTTCCGTTCGATACTAGATGGCGCCATTAGTTAAAAGTTCAAGATTGGCATTTTCTAGAAAGCACTCCTCACTCTGTCCCCCGACACTAGATGGCGCTAGTGCCAGGTACCAGACATCAACTTAGGCGGGCAACACTGCCCCTCTTAAGACATGCTCGTCCCGAGCATTATCTGCCCCATAATAACGCGCCAGTCGATCCACGTGGACGATCTTAGGAGTACCTCTTGCGCCTTTCTGTATCCGGTATGTTACATCGTTGATCCTGGTCACAATCTGGTACGGGCTGTCCCATTTAGCTTGAAGCTTAGGGGATTTCCCTTTGCTGCGGACTGGATTGTGCAACCACACTAGTGAACCTTCGTCGAACCCTTTGTTGTTCATTTTGCGATCATACCGGGTTTTTATCTTTTCGGACATTTGCTGGGCCGATTGTCTGACGTGCTCATAAATGTCATTCATTTTGTTCCGCAAATCATTTGCATAATAGGTTATACTGCGTGGGACATCTGGTGGTATCCCAGTGATCAGGTCTGCAGGCAGCCGTAATTCTATTCCAAAGTTTGTGAAAGATGGTGTCACTGATGTACTTTCGTGAACAGCGCTTCGATATAACAACAAAAACGGTTGTATGTGCTTGTCCCATTCTCGTTGCCGATTGTCTACAACTTTTGCTAGGTACCTATCCAATGTCTGATTAAATCATTCTACCATTCCATCAGATTGCGGGTGATAGAAGTCGTTCTTGTTTTATGAGTACCCATAACGCGGCAAATTTCCTGGAATATTTGAGACTTAAAATTCCTTCCTTGATCGCTGTGAATCTCTAAAGGTACTCCAAAACGACAGAAGACTTCATGAACTAGTTTATCTGCAACTGTTGAAGCTTCTTGATTTGGAATGGCGAAGACTTCTGGCCACTTAGTGAAGTAATCCATCACAACCATGAAATACTTGTTACCACTTTCACTCTCCGGAAACGGCCCCGCCACGTCAATGGCTATTCTTTCTCATGGTGCACCAACATTGTACAACTTCAATGCACCTCTACTATGAGTCTGAGGTCCCTTTACAGCCGCACAACTTGTACATTTGCGACACCAGTCCTCGATATCGTTTCGACAGTGGATCCAGTAAAACCGTTCTCGGATCTTAAGTAGAGTTCGTTTAACTCCCAAATGGCTTCCTAAACAATCATTATGGTACAGCTGTAGAACATCCGGTACTTTTGCTTTAGGGACAACCATTTGCAAATGGCAGCTGTCTCCGCGAACATTTTGCCATTTACGGCACAGAACTCCATCATGAAGCAGCAAGCGGTCCCATTGGGCATTAGAATCGGCTTGATGTCCGGATCTTCCTGCTGTGCATGTTGTAAGCTGTTTTTCCACTCGTTGCTGAGGTAGTTTGTCCTGAGCATCCTCACGGATACTATTTTCTTACTCTCTTGCCTAGTACAATGTTTACAATCTTCAGGACAAGGTCTTTTTGACAATGCATCTGCGTTGCCAT